AGGTAAATATTAAAATAATAAATGTAGCATTATAAACAGTAAATCTCCCTCAAACTCAATTTACTAATATTGTTCCTAAATAAGGAATAGCAGATAAAAGATTAGTAGGTAATAACTATTGCTCCTCAAAATTATATTTGACCTCAAGGTAAAACATATCCTAAAATTCAGAAGCTAAATAAAATAATAATACATACTATTCAAGTATATTTTCAATATGTGTAAGTAAATGAAAATAACAAAAATGAAGCAATGTAATGTAAAGTTCGAATCCATAATTAATATTTCGACAAATATTATAATTTACACTATAAAAAGCTAATTCAATATTAGCATTATAGTACATAGTTAAAAATAATCAAAATAGTCTTTTTTATTAATTAGATAATATATTAGAATACATAATTCTAATATAATGCAACTAATATATCGAATAAAGAAAATTAAAATACATTTATCATTGTACGCCGTGTCTATTTCCATAGAATAGTTCATTGACATCGAAAAAATAATACTACGTTCGTAGCAGTAGGTGGCGTCTTTTGGCGATTTCTTACGCGATATATTGTAGCGAGCTTCGACAGACCAAACGCTCAAGGTCGTTCGCTGGAGGTAGCGCCTTAAGTGACTAACTTAGTCATTAACTAACACTAAACTTTTGTCTTATTATGCTTTGATCAAGTAGGTTAGTGTTAATTGCTTTTTTTCTTTTTATTATCATTATTCTTTTTATCATTGTATACTATATATATATATATATATATATATATATATATATATATATATATATATATATATATATATATATATATATATATATATATATCCTTTGCAATCAGTCAACTGTTGGGTGATGTATAATATGTATTGAGTAGTATTTTGTAGTTAGTCTAATTGTGTCATATACTATATTGTTCAAGTATTTAATAACATTTTATTACATTATATACTTTTTATTTATTTAAAGTTTATTATTATTATATCTTTATTATTAATGTTAGGTATGTCGGATGATGAATCTTTTTATTCTGCTTTAGATGTCTCGTTCGAGTCTTGTGATAGTAGTGATAGTATCCTCCCTCCGTTTGTCTAGATCAGTCAGATCTATTTTACTTGTATGTCCTTCAAGCACACTCTCGCAAATACGGGTGAGGTGCCTTTGTTTTGTACTCGCGCACTTTGCACTGATATGTTTTGATTGGCACTGACACTATCACTTGTACACGCACGAGGAATGTCTTGAAGAGATAACCGTGGTGCCGGCTCCGGGCGGGCCGCAGGCGCTAGGCTCCGTCGGCGCGCTTGTCTCACTCGCTTCCAAAGTACCACTACGCCCGCTGCCCCGAGTGCTCCCACTAATACGTAGATAACGACGTAGTGGTGTAAGTCGTAAGATGAGCTTATCAATTTATTTACTTACTTAAAACTTGATTAATATATGTCATGTCAATACTCAAAGCATTCCAAGTCATTATTTTTATTTTGAAGAAGTTTTTCTATAGATTGTGTTCCTGCAATCTTAGTATCAGATAGTTGGCTAAAGCCATCATTAATGTCCAGCTTATATCCTCTAAATGATTTTGTTCTTGTGCGTAACGACCGGATTAAAAAAAGAAGGAGGTGGTGTTGCTTTTTTTATATATCATATAAGCTGATTTCTCCTAAACTCAATACCGTCGTACTATACTTTCGTAATTTCTCTAGAATGGATTTTGATAAACTTAAAAGTGACGCCTATCGTATTGACTTAAACTCTTTATTTAAATCAACTTGTATTGACGATAAAGTCTCCATGCTTAATAATATAGTTCTTGGTCTGTACAACAAACACGCTTCCAAACATCAAGTAAGAGTGAAGCGTTCACCAGCCCCGTGGATGACTGAGGCCGTAAGGTTGACAATGACTAGGCGAGATCGAGCATTTGTGAAATTTAAGAAGCACCGTACACAGGACAGCTGGGATTGCTGCAGAGTGCTAAAAAACAGATGCAATTAGATCAATCACTCTGCACGAAATAAACCATCACTTTATTTCTACTTCTCCTTTGGATCCCACAGTTCGTTCTACGACAATAGCTTCCATTCAATCCACGGCATCTCCTCCTCTTTCTTTTTTCACTTCTAACCTGTGACTGAGGATGAGATACAGAAATCTGTACTAGCTATTAAATCCAAGGCTGTGGGTTGCGATGATGTTAGTAAGGTTATGGCATCCACGATCTTTGAGTGCCTTTTACCTGCAATCACACATACCATAAAATATTTCCTTGACTCAGGTCAATATCCTACTCAGTGGAAAAAAGCATAAATAGATAGATAATTCTTTATTTTACACCAAATCAATACATAAACGAAAGAAGAAGAAAAAAAATAGTGTCATAATGTTCGGTCTTATCGTTAAAAGAGATTCCTTCCAGACAATCCTTGGATGGACAGAATCGCAAAAAGCAGTAAATTGGTGGTTTGGTGATGCATAATCAATATATATATATATATATATATATATATATATATATATATATATATATATCCATATTTTATATAATATAATTAGAAATAAGCAACAAATAAATACAAAAAATACGAATGCATACTACATATTAGATGGCGCGAACTCAACGATTAAGATAGTGACTGTGTACAAGTTTCTGAAAAACAGGTAAAGACTGGGCGCGTCCCACTGACTGCTTGGATACTAAACGACCTGTCCATAAATTTGCTATTATGGGCAGGCATTTTTAATGTAAAATTCTCTGATGATCTCAAAACTTTTAATGGGAATAGTGAAGGAATTTAAAACGATCCTTACGATAAGAAAGGTAGAAAGGATTAAAGAGAACATTGTAAAGAAGTGACAGAATATGAGCATTCCGGCGAAGACGGATAGGAAGCCACTTGAGATTATTACGAAAACAAGATACGTGATCATATTTGCACAAACCAAATATGAATCTTATACAAAATCTTATCCGAGATCAAGATAGCTGACATCTGCATAGTCCACAATTGGGAGAAGAAGAGATTGAATTAGCGCAATTTTAGTGGCAGTAGGTAGAAAGTTCTTTAATCTGTTCAACGATCGAGCAGCTGCAAAAAGTTTACGACTAACCTCCTGTATTTGAGGACCCCATGATAGGTTCCTGTCAATATAAATTCCCAAGTCCTTGACTTTTTCAGTAAGAGGGATAAAATTTCCATTAAAACAACCTGAGGTGCTTGAGATATGTTAGATTTTCCAATCATATACGAACTTCCGATGTTAATTACCTGAGTCTTTAGGGGGTTAATCTTCAAGCCATATGTTTTTGCCCAATCTGATATCTGCTCAAGATCACTATTTATGTTGCTAATAGCTACATTTAATTCAGTAGGAGAAACATGAGTATACATTTGAAGATCATCTGCGTATAGGTGGTAGGAAAAAGTAATCTTAGTGGCTAAAGAATTAATGAAAATTGAGAAAAGTAAGGGAGATTATACGCCACCCAGCGGGATACCAGCAATGGCATCACACCAAGAAGAAAATGTGTCATCAATGCGAATACATTGCCGGCACCCAGACAGGTGACTTCGAAACCAATCAATCACTGTTGAAGATATGTGAAGAGAGCTAAGTATACCCAGTAAAATTTCAAAATCAACTGAGTTAAAGGCATTACTAAAATCTAACAGAGAAAGGATAGTTAACTTGCCATTTTCCATTGCAGATCTAATATCTTCCGTAATATTAACTAAGGCTGTGGCAGTACTATGCCCAGAACGAAAACTGGATTGTAGAAGATTTCGAAGGGAATGATTGTGGAGGAAAGCATTGAGCTGATTATATATCAAGCGTTCGAACACGACAAGGAGAACTTTAGACACGAATGGCAAAATAGATATAGGACGATATTTCGAAAAAGATGTAGGGTTAGGATTTTTAGGCAACGGTATGATGTGAGCGTCTTTCCAAGTTGTTGGAAAAACACCACTAGAAATCGAGGAGTCGAGGATATGGCAAAGTATTGGGATGATAATGTCATATTACGGCTGATACAGTTGCTGCCGATTGCATTCGAAGTAATGGATAGAGTACTCTTCTTAACATCACAAGCAGAAAATTGATTTAGGACAAAAGATGAATGATCAGGAGTTGGAAGCGATGAAAGAAAATTTAATGTGTTAAATTTTGTAGTCCCATTTAAGTTGGACGAGGCTGAGAAGAATTGATTTAGTAAATCAATATTTAAATCTTTAGAGAGTACATTATTACGACACTTTACAACCCCCATTGATCTAAGAAAACTCTAGACTTTAGCCTCATCACCAATTTGTACTGATTTATGGATATAGTGGCGCTGAGCATCCCTACTACTACTATAGATGTAGGCCTACATTTATATTTTGCCCTAGCTGCAGCTTTTTTGTTTAAAATGGATTTTATTTCATCAGTCAGCCATGGTGAAGGGCGATGTCTCATTTTAATTACGCGAACTGGTGCATGTTTATCATAGAGACAGGTGAGGTAAGTCGTAAATATTGCAACTTTATCGTCAACTGATTCTGCATTTAAAACGGCTGACCAATCAATGTTGGAAGCATCTTGACAGAGATTTTGTACATTCATACCACCGAAACTGCGTTGCAGAAGAAACTTAGACTTAATTTTAGGTGGCCGGACATTATAGAGAGAAATATAAGATCGTGGTAAGAGAAGGTATCCGCTGAACACTGACCATACTTAACAACGAGTTCAGAAGAGGACACAAAGATAAGGTCGAGCAATGACAGAGTAGCATTAGGAAGTGATGAGTAGAATTTAAAGGTAAAATAGAGATATTAGTGGAATTTACTATAGATCGAAGAGAGAATGAACGAGAGTCTTGTTTAAGCAGACAAATATTAAAGTCGCTCATAATGATCGTGTGCGAGTAAGAGGATACATTTTCTAAAATATTTTCGAAGGAAGTGAAGAAGTCAATTCGAGATGAAGGAGAATAATATTTTCGTGTGACTAAGCTTCACCTCAATAAAAAGATGTTCACCTGCATTAAAAGTATTCTACTTTTACTTCTAGCAGATTTAAGATAATGTTACACATTGTCAATAAGTAATGATAATGTATCGCATTGTCAATTAGTAATGATAATGTTTCACATTGTCAATTAGTAAACATTTTTTTTTGGTATAATAAATGGAAAGAGGGGTTAATAATTATTATGCTTATTATATGTACATTCAATGGTAAAAAAATTGCACAAAACATAAGGTATAATCTACATACGCCCCACTGCTGGGCACAGGCCTTCCTATATTGATGATGATGTGAGGGTTTTGCACTAGCTTATAACACATTCACAAAGAAATAAGTCTCACAAGATATTTATTGTAATTGTAAAGCGTTAAAAAAATTGGCAAAATTTAGGCATGGCAAATCCTGTACACTTAACACTTCTTCACAACGGCGTTTCGCTTGGACCTCCCAGCTGCAGTTTTCGTTACTGGTTTTGGGCTTGTCTGGCAATCGATTTTGCTGATGTCATTCAGAAAGGTTACACGTTGACTGGTTCCATCAGGTTTCGCAATGTATACAGATCCATCTTTGATCCAGCATTTGGAGATGCCAACTTTTTCACGGGCAGCTACAAAAAGATCGTGTGGAAGCTTGGTGAGAAATTCGGACACTGTTGTTCGAGCCTTTAAGTTGGGATTTTACGTACCAGACTTTATTACGCAACCTTAAATCTAGGAATTTCACTAAAATTGGCCGAGGCTTGTGAGGATCTGTTGGTCTACCCAATCTGTGACAACGCTTTAATATCACTGATAGAGACGTTGTCTAATTTCAACTGATTTTGCAGAAACTTGGTGACAGCCAAAGCAGCGTTTTCTTTTGCAACCTCTGGTACATCATGAAGTAGTAACATTTTCCTTATTATTTGTGCTACCACTTCCTAAAATACCTAATCCCTCATTATCTACCCATTTTCGACCAATTTCAATATTATCTAAAGTTCTGGAAGCCTGTGTTCACAAGCAAATCTCTATACTCATAATCAACCACAATCTGCTGAATAAATATCAGTCAGTTTCGTGCAGGTCACAGTACTACCACTGCATTGATAAAAGTCACAGACGATATTAGAATGGGAATGGATGAGCAAAAGCTTACAATGGTGTGCTTGTTGACTTTTCAAATGCTTTTAACACAGTCGACCACGATATCGTTATAGCCTTCCTAACTAATCAATGCGGAATACTTTCTCCTATAATGTTTTCTTTATTCATAAATTCTATCACTTCAGTTATCAATTGTTCGTACCATCTGTATGCAGATAATCTTTAGCTCTATGTGCAATCTAGTGTTAACGAGCTTAACGATAATATTCATAAACTCAACCTCGATGCCATAAGAGATTGGTCCTACAGACATGGTGTTTTGGTTAACAAATCCAAATGCAAAGCAATGGTTATAGGTAGTAGCGAAATGTTAGCTAAGATTAATAACGTTAAACTTGCTCCCGTATTTTAAAATGGAACGTTGCTGCCATTTTGTAAGTCTGTCAATAATCTTAGCTTACGTGTAGACCATACCTTAAGCTTCAAGTTGCCGAAACAAGCCGTAAAGTAACTGCCACCTTACGTTTTCTTTGTCGTCTCAAAAACTTTCTGCCTTTTAAAACTAAACTTCTGCTAATCCAGACCTTGATATTACCCATTATTGATTTTGCATTAGATTCATTTTCGGCTTACGTAAGTATAACAATATTTCCCAGTACCGATCTAAGCTTAAACGGCTCTCTTTTGGTCAAAGGCGTAGCTCTAAAACTTTTATTATTATTATTGTGGGGCATCTATATAGCTTTCTCATCTGGTTGGGTTCTATAAATATATAATTATAAATGAAAATGAAAAGATAAATATACATAAATATCAATAACATAAAATAAATATAAAAGTACATAAATAAGTAAAAGCCCAACCAGATGGAGGCCCTCGGCAGGGGAGACCAAACGGCCGAGGGTTAGGGGGAAAGGGAAAGAAACCGGCGGACGATGCGGGCGGTATCGAGGAGCACCGCCTTCTGCATTTGAACCTGGAGCGGTCCGCCACGTAGTCCCAGCCGCCTCAGATGACCCGAGAGGCTGACTGGGATTAGCCCGTTTGCAGAGACGACTACAGGAATAATTTCGGTCGGCAGACCACCCCACACGTCGGTCACCTCGTGAGCCAGGTCTATATATATTTTGTTTGCTTGTCTGTTTCGGCTTTCACGAGGTTTTCGTCATACGGAATGGTAATGTCGACCAAAAATATCCTTGACTGTGCCCGGTCCATCAGCACAATATCAGGCTTATTCGCAAGAATAGTCCTGTCTGTGATGATGGCCCGGTCCCAATAGAGCCTGGCGCGATCATTTTCGAGCACGGCTTCCGGCAAGTACTTGTAATACGGCAATTTCCGATCCACGAGACCGTATTTCAGAGCGAGCTCCTGGTGTAGAATTCTGGCTACTAGGTTGTGCCTGTGCAAGTACTCAGAGTTAGAAAGCGCCGAACAACCGGAGATAACATGCCTAAGTGACTCACCGGGATGGCGACAAGCTCGACAGATGTCGACGGTGCCATCCTTTAGGATGTATCTCCGATAGTTGTTGGTCTTAATAACCTGATCCTGTATTGCACAGACAAAACCCTCGGTTTCCCCCGAAGAGATCACCAAAGCGTAGCCAGTGGAGGGAGGCTACTGTGTCTACGAAAGGCTCATGTAGAGCCTTGTAGAACCTCCCGGTGGAGCTCCTTCTCCTTCCATACGGTCTCCCGGTCGGAAATGCTCTGCACTGCCGGGTCTTGCCATTGCTCGTTGGCTAAGGATAGAGGGGTAAGTCCTTTATCACAAGAATTGACGTCCTTATAGAATGGATCATCCGATCTCGCAAGGAAGTAATCACGGAGGCTGCACACTTCGTGATTATGCATGGTGAGCGCGAAAGCCACGACCACCATGCTTCCGCGGCAAGTACAGCCTCATTACCGACGATCTCGGATGATGCATCCTATGGGACGTCATGGTAGTGCGGACTTTTCTATCCAGGGCGTTAAGTTGAGTCTGAGTCCACCTGAGTATGCCAAAGGTATACATGACGACAGGCATGACCCAACCGTTATATGCGTGTGCCTTATTCACACCGGACAAAAGGCTGTTAAGCACTTTGGTCAAGCGTGCATAAAACACGTCGCAAACTGACTGTTTCATACCAGCCTCATCGATACCGATGTTCTGTGACATACCCAGGTATCGGTATGTTTCAGCCTCGGAAAGGGTTCTAAAGTTGACTCAGAGTTAGCAACCCTTCCCCTTTCAACATGGAGGACCGCACACTTATCCGTCCCCAGCTCCATTCTAATAGAATTGCTAAATTCACACGTGATGTTTAGCAATTCCATAAGATGGGAGCGACTGGAGGCGAATAATTTGAGGTCATCCATATAGAAAAGGTGGGACACTTTTGTACCTCCTTTCCGAAGCTGAAATCCCCTCCCGGAGCCCTCCAGTAAAGTACTGAGAGGGTTCAAAGAGAGGCAGAACCAGATTGGACTCAGACAGTCGCCCTGGAATATACCCCTTCTTATCCTTATGCGGCTTTCCGCAGCCGTCATCCGCTCGCCTAGATGACAGAGGATCGTACTCCACTGCCCCATACACTGCTCGAGGAAGTCTCGAACTGTACAGTCAATCTTGTACAGCTCGAGGACCCTCTTTAGCCATGTATGGGGCACCGAGTGAAATGCCTTTCTGTAATCTATCCAGGCGGCGGAGAAGTTCCGACGGTTGCGTTTCACCACTTTGCCAATGACCGCGTCAATGAGGAGTGGTTCCTTGGTTCCACGACCGCCGCCCCGACATCCATTTTGAGCGCGCGACATCACCTGATTTAAGTCCAGGTGACGAGCGATTCTTGCGCTCAAAATGGATGTTATTGTCTTGTATATGGTCGGTAGACACGTGATGGGGCGGTATTTGCTCGGGTCTGTGGCACCCTGATCTTTAGGAACCAAATGAGTGATCCCAGTAGTGAAGAGGCTTGGGAGCGACTTCTGGTTGAGAGCCTCTTGAAACTGTCGGGCGAGCACAGAGTGACACACCATGAACCCCTTCAGCCAGTAGTGATGCAGCCCGTCAAGCCCCGGACTTTTCCAGTTCGGGGCCCTACGGACCGCCTCAGCTACGTCATCCGGCGTTATGATGACGGGGTCCATGGGCGTAATACTCGCACACTGACTCGCCACAACTTCCGTCCAAGGGCCCTCGTTGTGGTTTACGGGCTCTGACCACAGGCTGCGCCAGAATGCGACCATGTCGGCCTGATTTGGTGCAGGGCCCGTTCCACTTACTATTGGTCGCTCCAATGATTTATTGAGCCTCTTCTGATCACTCTGGAAGAGACGATTCTGGTTGAACCGTGTCGACCTCTCGGTATATCGCCGAATCCGCTTTCCCCAAGCAGCTATTCTTTGCTTCAGGTCGTCTATGCGCTCCGTCAGTTTTTGCATTATATCCGGCTGGGACAAACTAACATTTGTCCCAGCAAACGCCATCCTGACGGTGCGCACAATCCTTGGCCTGGTATTGCCTGACCTGAAGCATATCAGTCTGCCGATGAGGGCCCTAGCCTTTGCGATACGTTCTTCAATTCTTATTTTCCAGGCTGGGATAGCACTACTTTGTCCAGTAGTGCGTCCAGCCGTGGAAAGTTTGGCACCTATAATACGGCAGACTGCCAGTGCGGCGCCAAAAAGAATTGAGTCCGTATCGCAAAGGTCCCGGCTGGCTTCCAAATAGGTAACCAGCATTGGGTTCAGAGCCCTCACGACAGCCCGATTCCGCTTGCTTAGGGCTAAGCGGGGAAGTCGCGGTCGATTTTCGAGAGTCGTACTGCGCGTTTCCACAATCGCCTCTTCCAATGTACTCCTCATTTGCTCTAGTTCCAGTTCCTGGGCGACTGTTCCATCATCGTTTGAATCAACCACGACTGGCGTATTCACGGCGGCATCCACATTTGCCGTTTGCTCAGCAAGTTGTGGCGCCGCATCCTCAGCCGCAGCATTTTCACCCGATGAAGGAACAGCCTCACGTCGTAGCCGTTCGAGTTCGGTGACATCAAATGTATTTGAGCGCAAGATATACCGAACTCGGTCTGCCAGGTTTTGCTCGGTGACGGTTACAGATGGCTCCAGCTCAGCAAAAAGTCGATGCATCCTTGCCCGATACGCAAAACCTCCAGTTTCTCCCCCTTTCGCCCTAAAATACGCCCGCAATGCGTTGCTGTTCATCTGGGTTGTCCAACGCATGCGGCGTACTCCACCAGTGGCGGGTGCCGATTGCTGAGCCCGCGAAGACCCTGCCGACACCAAGCCAGCTGGTGGGAATGATGGATGCGAGGATCTGCTGGGTGGTCGTGCAGCACCTCGCGCTCGGCTGGCGGTTCGCATGCTGTCGCGTCTAGCGCCAGCTCCAGACGCGCCCTCCGAGCGATCTCCAGGCAGCGGCCCTTTGCGCGTTCCATTTGATTCCATCATCCATTTTAGGGCGTCATTTAGCAGGAGACGCCCAGACCCGGCGCCGTTTCATGGTTAGGCCATGTGCACAAGCGGGCCTTGGCACCTTCAATTTTTGCCGAGGCACGACACTAACACCTCTTGGCAAGGTGCTGACTGACTGCGCCGACGTAGCGGTTTTGTCACATAACCGTTATATCAGCGGGCGATGGGGTCGTCACTTCCCTACGCCTTTACTATTATTATTATTATTATTTATTCTTTTTTGTACACCACAATACAGAAACATCAAGTTCAGTTAAAACTGATTAAAGTATGCACAATAGGCGGTCTTATCACTCTGAAAGTGATTTCTTCCAGACAACCTTTGCGTAGAGGAATGATGCAAACAAAAGTTAAAATAGAGAGGGGCATACAAAATAATAATAAAAAATATAATAATACATACAGATAAAAATAAGTGAAAGTTATATATAAAATATCATATAATAGATTAAATAAAAAGAGTACGAGAAAGGTAAAGTAATTTATCTAATAGCGTTCTAAATAATACGATTTAACAAGACTTTTGAAAGAGTGAAGAGATTTAGCACGACGAATATGGACAGGTAAGAAGAGAGTGAAGGATTTCTTGAAAAAGGAAGAAGAGTGCAAAGGTGTAGAGAGAGAAAGATTGACGGAGGAACGAAGGAACTGATTATGGGTAAGAGAAAGATACTGGAAACGGTTTTTTTTTTAAATAAAGAGGAGTAGAAAAATTAAACAGCATACAACGCGGAGAGAATGTGAGTATTCCTGCGAAGGCGGATCGGGAGCCATTTGAGCTGTTTGCGAAATTCGGAGATATGATCATATTTGCGAAGCCCAATCATAAATCTAATGCGTAAATTTTGAATACGCTCAAGCTTATTAAGCTGTTCCTCGGTAATGTCAAGATAGCAAATATCAGCATAGTCAAGGATAGGCAGAAGTAGAGACTGGGCAAGCGTAACTTTAGTTGCTGTGGGAAGGAAATTACGTAATCTACGTAATGAGCTTAACGCAGCAAACATTTTTCTACCGACCTCATTAACCTGTGAGGTCCAAGACATACAGGACTTTGCAAGTACTGACCCTAATAATGACCCCAATTCTCCCTCTTATCTTAACGATAAATTTCAATATTTGTATTCTACTCACGATAGAGTTCCCGGTTCCCAAAATTGTCTTAAAATTCGTATTCCACCACATAGGAGTGGTTTCTTTAATTCCTCTTTTACTGTGCAGTCCATACTGCTCTGGAATGCCTTGCCTGTTAATATCAAGATAACTACTAACAAGAATTATTTTAAAAGACTAGTTCGAGAATTCTATCGTAAGAATAATACCACCTGACTATTTTTTTTCTCTTTCACTTTAATATGTGATATTTTGTATAATGTATTTTAATATGTATTGTGTTATTTTATTTTTGTCTCATAATATTTTATTTACTTATAGATTTTGTATAGAAGTACCCGTTTATATATTTATTATTTATCCTATATTATATGTTAAGAAAGTATGTATATTTTACTAACTATATCTATTCTATTCTTCATTTAAATCATCCTCATTTTAATTGCTGTCATGCACAACGCCCATCTGAAATATTTATGAGCGCATTATAAAACTTAGGCGTTGAGACGTCGGGAAACCCAAAGCGAAGATTTCGCTTCTTAGTGCCGTGAAATTATAATAAGTCCATCGTATTAAAATACTAATAACTGTACAGCTCTTGTGAAACCACATGAAGTATTCTTGAATAAGTTTCATAAGTTTAAAATAATAAAGCTAACGATCCGGCCCAGCTCCTGAATCTAAACCATCCATGAATCTATATATATACTCAAACAAAACAATTTATTAGTCCAGTTGAAACGTGGTAGTGCCTTGCTACAGCTACATTGTTGTATCAAGAATGGAACGGCTCGACCGGTGTAGGACCACGCTCTCACAAAATATCAGCGTAAAATAGCAGTGAGTGTAGTGTCAGTGAACCGGAGACCCTTTCCACTGTAAACGAGGCAATATATTTTAATCTCCAGAGGTGACATTGCCCATTGAATATAGATGTAGATTTCTATGGGCCACAGCATCCACTTACCATCATGTAGTCTGTGTATTCGTTGGCCACACTTCTTTTATAAAAAGCCGTTTCTGAGGAGTTTGTAGACAAACACACGTACAGGATAGTTAGATATTAATAAAAAGAGAATAAATATATGTAATTAAATGCAGCCGCTTAGTGTCATCGCAATAGAATCCACTTCGCTATAGACTCTATAGCGAAGTGGATTCTATTGCGCTAGCATTACTCTATACTATAGAGTATGTAGTACACAAGTGATCCCCGTAGTGATGAATCCCGTGATTTTCGTACGGGGTGACAGAGGGAAGTGAAACAAGAAAAGGACAACAACATTAAATAAATGAAAGTAGCGTCTTCCTAAAACAAAAAAAAAAAACTAAACAAAAAAAAAGACTGCAGTTGCCAACCTGCCTGTCAGCGTGGCAACTATAGCAAATATCCCCTTTATGAAGCAATATATGGAAGCCTGTGTTCAGCTATGGGCTTTTTTTTTTTGGCTTATTTTTTACGTCTGCCAGAAGCCACGCTGCAGAAACAGAAACAGAAACTTTTTATTCAATATAGATTATAAATAATACTTATTGAAAGTCAATTTTTTTATTTACCACTGGTTCGCAAAAAAAACTCTGTCCTGGGAAGAACTGGTAAAAAACCCACCGGGACTAGTTTAAAAAAATAAGAGCTTACAATCATGCGTGTTAAAAACAAAGTAGAAATAGTTTGATAGCGATCACCCTTCTCAGGGGTTATTATCATCTATAAATTCCTTAATATTATAATAACCCTTTTTATACAAACTTAGTTTAATAAAATTTTTGATTTTGTTGTAAAAGCGTATACATCGCCCCAAGAATGAATTACTGACTCGGTGGAGTCGAGTAACTGGTACTACTAGCTTGTGTCTGTTCCTAATATTTACAGAATGAATATCACTTATTTTTGCAAAACTACGTTTATTCTTGTGTACGTACATTACATTTTCATAAATGTATTGAGAGGCCAGATTTAATATATTAATTTCCCTAAATTTTAATCTCAGTGACTCTTTTGGTTTTAAATTATATATTGCTCTAATGGCTCTCTTCTGTAAAATAAATATAATTTCAGTGTCAGTCGCGTGTCCCCATAGCAAAATACCATATGACATAATGCTATGGAAATAACTAAAGTAAACTATTCCAGCTGTTTCAACACTGGTAAGAGTTCCAATCTTTTTTACAGCATATGCTGCAGAACTAAGTCTGCTAGCTAGTTTTGATATATGGGGGAGCTATTGAAGCTTTGCCTCTAGTGTGATTTCAAGAAAAATGGTGGTATCAAGAAGACTCAGTTCTTCCCCATTTAAAATTACATTCGTATTAACATGTTTGACATAAGGAGTTACGAATTTAATACATTTAGTTTTAGTACCATTTAAATGCAAATTATTAACTTTAAACCAATTGACTAACTTAGCTATAGCATTACTTATTTCGTCGTAGTTTAATAACTGTCGTTTTAATTTGAAAATTAATGAAGTATCATCAGCAAATATTACTATATCATGGTTATCCCCTACTATGTAAGGTAAGTCATTAATATATACACGAAAAAGAAAGGGCCGAGAATTAAGCCCTGAGGCACGCCCATTTGTATAGTCGACCCTGCAACTGTATTATAGCTGTAGCACGAACGGGTCGGGTAGACCGAGGCAGGACCACGCGCTCACAGAATACCAGCGTAATGCAACGTAATGCTGCTGAGTGTCGTATGATGAGTATAGAGAACCGGAGACCCTTTTTACTGGAATCAAGGTATTCCATCTTAGTACTCAGGGGTGACAAAGTATTTACATTTTATTTCTTAATTGCGGATGAATATGGCCACAGCATCTACTTACCACCATGTATACTGTGCGCTCGTTTGTCACCCAATGCTATTAATTTTTTTTTATATAATTAATGAATGAATGAATACTGAATTAGGGTCCGCTTTGATTTGTATACCGTCATGCCTATTGCTGCTATCAAACACCATCCCAGCTGCATCCACAGTCATGTTTCGGTACGAGGAATAAGTGAGCCGATATAGTTACAGGCTGTGAGGAATTTCATCTCATTGGTAAGAATTACCTCGCCCATATTCGCTCAACGAAGTAAAATGATGTATCCTACCTAGTTTTATTGTTACATTCAAATTAGCCGCTTTTTTATGTCAATTGTCTGTTCACTGTCCCATTATGTAAAGAAAATTATTTGGAATCACATTGGATCTTTCGTTCCCACTGTTTTGGCGGGGGAGGTGGATCCGCCAGAGCGGTGGTAGCAAGTCACGTTGTAGGTGGTTAAGCGGCAGGAACGTCTTAATCAATTTTTAACGTGCCACGGTCGTCTCTGTAGCCGTAAATATCTGTCTATGCCGCAATCTATGGGAAACATAAACATGTTCAGCAGTTGGTTTTAATAGACTGTCACGGTATAATTTATATGGAGACTGAATGAAAACTCATTGGGAATATAGAAAGGATTATAAGATACAGTTTCCTTTATTGTATAAAATTGCTTTTAATTACTTAACAATGATTGGTACACGTGTTCCACCTGAGAAATTATTTTTACTGTCTGTGCAAGTGTTAGTAAGGAGGACAATCTCCCATAGGAGAATAGTCGAAATTGTATCCATCCATAAGCAGTAAATAACAGTTCAAAAACTCTCCACAACAGCGCTCGAATAGCTACAGGTTATGATAAATCGTCGTATTTTATAACTTATATACGTTGCGAGTGATTTTGAAAATAAAAGTTTTGAAAGCAATAAAATAATTATTGTAAAAATAATTGTGATGAAAGTCTGTGCAATAGAAAAATTAAAAAAGTTCTTTAGACTGTAGCTACAATGGCATCACCCTTATTTAGCGCTTTCCTACGGACACATTTTTATGCAGAGTCTGTACTCCTTAGTCCTTAGTCCTTACCTCTACACTCCATATGTCCGGCAATGTCTTTTCGTTGCCCCTGCAGCAAACATGTCCATGAAGATTTCCCTACGGTTAAAAGGCTGTATGGTCTAAGACCTTTGCCTACCTTAACTGGCAAATAATGCCATGGGCAGAGGTGCAGTGTCAAATTGTGATAAGTTCAAAACAATACGAACAAGTGTAAATTGTAAAACAAAAAGTTATAAATAAAGTATTACTAAAATTAAGAAATGTCTGCATACGAGAAAGTTTATAAAAATGTCTGTCGCTTATGTTTATCTTTCTCTAGAAATGAAAACATGGTGTGCTTAATTCAAGATATAAACAATTTGAGTGATTATGGAAAAGCTGTTAAAACATTTGTGAATATTTCTCTTCAACCTGATGATAATTTGCCTAAAAATATGTGTGGAAAGTGTTTTTTCCTATTAAAACAAGTTATTTTCTTCAAGTTGAATTGTGAATCTAGTGATAAAAAATTAAAAAACCTAGTAGAGCTTTCCAATATTACCCTAGAAAATTTAATGGAAAATCTGGTTCAGTACTCAATGTATAATATATATTTTCCCACCGAATTGTCAAGTTATGTTCGTGAAAAATATCCAAATGGTATTGATCAACAAAACAGAAATAAGGAAAAGATGCAACTAAAGGCAACAAATACTGAAACATGTAATGAACAGTTCATACAAAGTGACTCCATGACCACACATAGCAAAATGGAAATTGAAAGCAACCATTTCGATCAAAATACTAATACTGAATCTGAATCAGAATTAAATAACACACAAAATGATGAGTATTTGTTAGACATAATGGAGAAAATGATAGATAAACATTTGAATATAGTAAATGGAGATTTGAAACATTGCAAGAAGAAAAGAATTTTGAGGCGAAGAAAATTATTTAAAAGCAAACATCAAACACAGATTAGAGGAGAGAGGTTAAAGAAAAATACAGATAATAAAACAATGTCTTTAATGTGTAAAATATGCCTCAAAGTTTTAGCAAATCAGCTCACCTATGACCATCACATGCAGAGACACAATGGTTGCCGATATATTTGTGAACATTGTGGTAAAGGATTCCCTGTCCAGGCCGAGCTTAAGATACATCAAGTAGTGCGACATGGCACTGGCCCCTACTTACAGTGTCATCATTGTTCATTCAAAGCTCCAAGAAAATTTGATTTAATAGAGCATGAAAGAATTCACACTGGAGAGAGACCATATACTTGCGATAAATGTGGACTTACATTCCGGAGACGTGGAATATGGAAAAAACATCTAATATATCACATGGAGAAAAAAATACAATGCACTCAGTGCCCTCGTAAATTCTACCAACGTGGTGAAATGCTAGCCCACGCTAATAATGTCCACCACAGGGTATATGTTTACCTGTGTAATAAATGTGGAGCTACTTATGCAAAACCAGCAACAGTGCGGAGACATTTAACGGAAAGACATGGAATTCCCAGGGAGATGCAAGGTAAAGTGATAAGGGTAAATAAGGGGTCTAATTATAATAAACAATTAGGTTGACTACCCTGCCTGTGTAAAACCTACTTTATGTACAAGTTTATACAAAAATAAAATAGAATATCAGTGTAACATTGTAACATAATGCTGCTGTGTTTCTTATGGTGAGTGTAGACTGGCAAACCTCTATGGTAATGAGGTATATTATCAGATCAGGGGTGACAATGCATTTGTATTAGATTCATAATTGAGGATATTTGTAGGTTTCTATGGGCCACAGAGCCCAATTACAGAGGCACATTGTGGTGTTCCCTTGTCAAAGAATGTAGTATGAGGAAACAACCTGGAAAAAGGCCATTATTTCTTTCCGTCTTCTATGTAGCTACTATGTTGTTTGTATTATAATATTTTTTTATATAAAAGATTAATTATATGCATGTGTATATCCATATCTGTAAGAATTTATTAATATATTTGTGTATTTACAAATATATAATGTATTGTTTAAGCTTATTTGTCTTATGTTAAAAAAGCACATTTTTATCTTATCTTTTATATATTATTAACTTTTGAAATGGCCTAGTGCAAGAAATTCCATTGTAAAATAGTGTGAAAACCTTTTATCATGATGTATCCTCTTATTTGTTTGTGTACATAAATTGTTAAATAAATTACTAAGAAATAATATCTATTTACATAAATTAAATAAAATGAATTTTTACATTATTTTATAATCTTTAATTTCACCTTTATAATTTATGAATGCAAATGAAATTATTAAGTAATGGCAATTTTATGTATTGATTTACAACTGCAAGGCAAAACATATTGTGTGAAAAGTAATCAGAAATCATGAAAAAGAAAATTCAAGGAACACCAAGCCAAGCCTGTGAGAATGCATTGCGGCAGCATGGGAGACATGTTAATGCTCTGGAACTTGCACAATTGAGAGAAGGGCTGCACCTAACATTGGAACTAAAATAGAATGGAATAGAATAATTATTTATTCAAAATAGATTACAAGTAATTTTTACTGAAAGTAATTTTTTTACTTTTACCACTGGTTCGGAAATAACCTCTGTCCTGAGAAGAACCAGCAAGAAACTCAACGAGTCTTGTTTCCAAAGTATATTATACAATATGTTGTAAAAACTACTTACAAATTTATTTCAGAAACGGCTTGGAAGCGATTATGTCGTTCTCTGGGGTTATTGTTAACTAATAACCTTTTTTATACAGTTTTAATTTCATAAAATATTTAAACTCGTTAAAAGAGAGACCTTGTATATTTTATTGGACTTTGTTGAAATAGCGAATACCTTGCCCCAAGAGAGTTACTAACTCTTTAGCTGAAAGAACATTTGCAAGCAGTTACTTATTCTAACTATATATGGTCAAGGGAAATTAAGTACTTCAAAATATTTTTTCCTTTGTAGATCAGATAAAAAAGTTTATAATCTAAGCTATGTAGATAACGTTAAATATATTTTAAGGGCTATGAAGGATTTCTATTTGGTACAACCCTGGCACACACGTCTCTCTTTTCACATTCAAATAATATCTTAAAATATCAGTACCTACTAAAAATTGTCTAGTTCTGTGTTAAGATGATATTTTCTAAAAAATATTGTTCCTCATTTTACTAAATAACAACAGAATATAATCATCAGTGGAAAGGACCTAAAGTTTGGGGGTTATAGAATAAATTGATAAAAGTGGTAAACACCATAAAAATAAGTTTAATTTAATAAAACTAACAGTTTTTTTATAGAATAAGGGTAACAAATAAGCACACAGTCTACTTGATGGTAAATGAATATTGTGGGCCATATACATCTACATCTATCCTCGATTTAGATTCAAAATGCAGGTGCGTTGTCACTCCTGAGGACTGAGATGGAATGCCTCGTTTTCAATAAATATAGTCTTTGGTTCTCACTCACCATATGAAATAGCACCATTAAACCGCTGTTTCACGCTCGAATTTTCTGGGAGCGTGTCCCTTCCCCGGTCGAGCCGATCCATTTCTGCAACAACCATAATGTGGCCTAATGAGTAAAGAAACCGACCAGAAGAGAAACTATATACAAACGATTCGCTGCGGGTGCACCCACACATAGCGCAGCGATGTGTGCGTGAGCTCTCACCGACGCTTCGTCTGGATACAAATGAGTTTTTTACAATAAGAGTAAAGTAAAGAGATTATGTACTATAAAATAAGACAATATAGATTTATATAGGTATATAATTAGTGTTAGATATGTATAAGCCAACTTTATCATAGGTACTTTTATATAGGCAAAATGCAGTTAAATATGCCATATTTAACTGCAGTCCCAAGCATAGCTGGAGCGAGTCAAATCCACGCTCTTTTTCAAACTATATAAATGCAAATCTAAAATACATTGTGAAATTTTGTTATAGAAGAGCACGCCCATTGTCAAGATTGACCTTCGGACCTTTTTGAGACTGAGCGAGCTTATTGCGGTTTCCAGTTTGTCTTTTTTTGTGCTCATGAATATGTCTTACGAAATTATAAATATTGTCTTACGAAAATGATATTGATAAAAATGTATAATGTGAAGCTTGTGTGAGAATACCTATTTCCTTTAAATTCTTTCGAAGGGATTTGCACGGTTTTTACCGACTTCAAAAAGGAGGAGTTATTCAATTCGACTGTGTTTTTTTGTGTATTACCTCATAACTTTTCTCTGGGTGAACCGATTGGGATGATTCTTTTTATCTGAAAGCTGGTGTTTCCTATGTGGTCTCATATAAATTTAATCGAGATCTGACCAGTAGTTTTTGAATTATCTTTAATAATACGTATGTAATTGACTTCGAATGCATTGATGACCTTCTAGTTTCAATTATATTGAAGACGGTTGTACAAAATTTTTAATTTTACCACTTGTAAATTGCACATGTAAATTCCTGTAATACAAAAATTATCTCTCTTCAATCTTTCATTATAGGGAAACGCCATGACCGCCACGCTTTCTAATGCAGGCAATAAAAATCACCTAAACATTGATTAAAACTGCTTTTATTCCTTTACCATGACCGTGGGTGCTGGAAAGCACCCGAAACGTCGGGAATTAAAAATAAAAATAATTAAAAGTATAATTAAACGTAGTTTAAATATAATTTAAAAATAGTTTTAATCAATGTGTAGTGTTCGCGTAAATATAAGAAATCATTATATCACCTAAACAGGTTGAGCGAAGATGAAGATACAATATATTCGAGTTTTGTCTTATAAATGTTATAGAAGGCAAATTACTAGGGAAATTACCGTGAGACAGAGGCGAGTAGTAACGTTTGGAACCGTGCTGAACACTGTAGCACATAGGATATAGAAGGAACAGGAAGCGTTATTCCAATCCTGCGATGAGCCTTTTAAAGCTAGGTGCGCTGACGACTGCAGACGATGTTTACTCGGGTGCGAATTGAAGGGGCGCAGAGTACTTTGACAACTACGACGAAATATGGTTTAAGCGTATGTGAGCTTGACCACAATCCCATCAGATGGTTAGTGGTGATGTAGTAATAGATGGTAAATCACACTACCTTAGCGTAACATAAGTCTATTCACTTTTGGCTTGAAGGCGTCCAGATTGTATTCGGACGGAAAGATAGACGCCGGCAAATTATTCCACTTGTTTACTATGAGCATTCCAAAAGACGAAGTAAACCGTTTGGTTCTAATGCGTGTAATATCGACAAGGGTATGAAGATCTGCCGATTACCTGGTTGTCCGATGGTGAAAAGAAGAGGGAGGAATTAAAGCATTTATTTCCTTCGCACGCTCACCGAAATGCATCCTATAGAATACTAAAAGTCTAGCTACTCTGTGCCTATAATTCGAAGTTACCAATGAGCTTCTTAACACGTCTCTTTACCAACGTTTTCCAACGTTGTTAGTTGGCATTTTGCAGCACCAGCCCATATGTCACAGCAATATTCCGTGCCCGACCGGACTTGCGCTTTATATGAGGTAAGAAGCTGCCCAGGCCTGAAGTACTGACGCAGCCTACAAGGACACCCAGTTTTCTTGCAGAGGCTTTGGCCCTAGACTCAATGAACCGCCCATAGTTAAGATTCGGAGAAAATTCAACACCTAACAACTGAAGCCGGTCACTCCAAAGAACATTCCGGAGACTACTTCCAACCCAGCCAGGGTGAGCGAGCCCCTTTCAGCGGTTCAAAGACATGCTTGTGTTTTGGAGACATTGGTTTTACGAAATTGAAATCGCCTTATTCAGAGACTGTCTGCAATGACATGACATGACATGACATGAAAGGCTGTTTGTACGTGGTAGAGCCATGCTGCAGTCATATAGTTGTAGCGCGAATGGGTCGGCTCAACCGGGAAAGGACCGCGTTCTACAGAATATCAGCGTAAAATAGTAGCTTAATGCTGCTGTGTTTCGTGTGGTGAGTATAGATAACCGGAGACCCTTTTTATTGAAAACGAGGCATTCCATCTTAGTCCTCACGGGTGACAACGCATCTGCATTTTGATTTGTAATCGAAGATAGATGTAGATGTCTATGGTCCACAGCAACCACTTACCATCAGGTGGACTGTGTGCTCGTCTGTCACCCTATCCTATAAAAAATGAGATTCGCACGCTCAACTATAGCTTTTCTTTCAGACTGGATTTGACCCCGATTTGGCACGAGCATTCGGCTAGTACCTCTTCACAACTGTGCAATCGTTTCCATATCCATAAATAACGGCAATAAGTAAATATGCAGCAGGAAGAGAGTTGCGGAGCATAGCGAAATGCGTACTTAGATGGGGAATACAGTAACGACATAGATTTCAGCAGAAAGTGTTCAGAAGTTTCCAAGGGTAAGGTAACCTGAACATCGTACCTGTCCGGATCGATCGTCACCAGAAAGTTTAAGCTGTTGGTTGTGTGCACATTTACATAGGCTACCCAATTCGCTTGTTGTACCAGCTGGCCGAGTCTCAGCGACAAGGCGAAATTTCTTTGCCTCTCTCCCAGTCTAGTCAGTCTTCTGGTTTGGGAACAGTCGGTTCTGATGACAGGCATT